ATATTTTTTAATTAGGTTACTAAAGTGCCCTGCACTCTTTAATTAAGTTTATTATCTAAAATATACCCTTTTTTTAACAAAAATCTTGCTCAAAACAACAACAATTTATTAAATAAAAATTGATATGGATGAATGTGCGGCTCAAATGAGAGATGCCTAGTATTAGGGATGAAGTTTTTCCAATAAAGTTTTACATTATAACCTTTTTTTAAAATAAATAAACAAAATAAAATAAAGCTTTTCTCATTAAAACAGGGCAAAGCATGAAGCTTGCGGCTGGAACCTTTAGAACATGGATGGGTACTGTGTGGCCAGCTAAAATCAGTTCCTATTGCGATGATTGTGTGGCTGACGAGTTTTAAAAAATAATATAAATAATGTTTTAAAGTAGTATTTAATGGTTTACATTTTTTTTTGTTTAAATAAATATTTAATATTTTATTAAAGCTTTGATGTCCAAATAATCCTAAGTTAAAATTTTATTATTTTTATTTTTTATTCTAATTAAAATTAATTTATCATTAAAGATATATACTAAAAAAATTATATAAATTACATTTTAAAATTTTACATATATTTTTTTTATACAAATGAGTCATATTGTACCGTAAACAAGCAAGTCACCTGCTTTCTTTGTGGGAAAGATCAAAATATATTTCCATGGAAATACAATAAGTTTCCTTTACGAGGACTTCTTATGAAAATATGCCACTTCTCCTGTACTTCCATTACCAACATTCCCATTAATGAAATTTTAAACATAGTTTAAGGAATATAATCTGATCAGAGAAACTTGAACATAATACAATTCATAATTTCACAGATGTTAAACAAAGAAAAACAAAAAAATCAAAATTAATGCAAGAATATTAAAATTCGTTTGTTTTTTTGTTTTAAAAATATTTTTAAAAAAATAAATTTTTTATTTTAAATTATTTTTTTAATATTTTTAAATTATTTTGATATTCTAATATCAAAAATACTTTTTTAAAAATAAAAAAATTGATAAATTAAAGATAAGGTCTGGATTTTCCCTTTTTTATATTAAGTTTTAGTTTTTTTTTATTGATTTTATGTTTTTTATTCAATTATTGATTTGATGTGATGTGCCCTTTATTTAAGTTAAGGTATTTTGTTAATTGGATTCTAATATTCAACTGTGTATAGCGAATTATTGATTTACTTTTCTTTCCTTTCTTTCTTTTTTTTTTCAAATGAGCATGGCAGTTTTTAAGTGCATCCATGCTATGATGCGGGTGGCATTCCAAGTTAATTTTTAGAAATAATTATAAAAATATCTTATCGTTTAATCAACATGGGATGCGAGCAAGAAATGGAAAGTAATTATTGAGAAATGTAAAAGGTGAAAGTGTTTGGTGATGGTAATTATACAATGTTTCTTAAAAGCGAATATTTTTTAAATATATTAAAATAATTTTATATTTTAAAATTTATTTTTAATATAAACATATTAAAATGATTCAAAAACATTAAAAATTTAATTAAAATAAAAAAAAATAAAAAGTACGGTCCTATCACAAAACAAACACAACTTTAATTATGCTATGAATCTCTTTTTAATAGTAAATAAGTAAGTGTTAGGCACTACCTTGCAGGTTTGGTGAAGTTTTTTCTCATTTAATAAAAGATATACAGATGATAATAACTCCAATCAACACAAGTTAACTTAATTATATATACAATATATGATATGAAATCAAGATTATCTTGAAAAAAAAAAGTGAAAAAAAAAACATATCAAAGCTTAAAACTTAATAATTTAATATCAAATGATAAATATTTTTAAAAAATTAATTTTAAGAAAAAGTAACATTGAAAAAAAAAACTCAAGTCAAATTGGGTTAACTTGACTAACCTACCATCCACGGTATGAGATTAGAGTAAACAAATTATATATATATATATATATATATATATATATATATATATTAAAAATACCTAGAATAAAAGACTAAAGTTAAATAAAATAAATGTAAAAAAAAAAAAGCAAGTTAACTTCATTAACCTACATTTAGGATGACTCCACATAAAAAAAAAGTGAAAGAATCACAAAGCTCAAAGATCAATAAATAATAATAATAATAATAATAATTTTTTGAAAATAATTTGAGGGAAAAAAACATTGAGTCGACTTGGATTAACTCAACTAACCCTCCATCCAGGATATAAGATTGATATAACCTAAAAAAATATAAAAGTTGAACATACAATAAAGCTCAAGCCTCGATAATTCAATATTAAATAATGAAATTAAAAAAAATAGTAAATAACAAAAAAAAGAGACATAACTTAAATTGGGTTAATATTTGAATCCAATAATCCAGATCATGAGTGCAAAAAAGTAAACACAAAAAAAAACTAACAAAGTAAAATTTCCAATCATATTTGTTTTCAAAACAAAACAAATAGTAATCAAAATAATAATGATCAAATATGGTATAAAAGCCAAAAAATAATGATTAGAGATTAAATCGAAAAATAAAATAAATTAAGAAAACAAAAAGGCTCATCAGAGCCCAATTACATCTCTACCGTGAACACACATCTCGTGAATACAAAAAGGACAACGCGCCTCCCCAAACATCATCGTAGATGATTAATTTTGGTCATGAAAATATAATTACCTTGACTTAAATTGGGTTAATATTCAAAATTAATGATTTAGATTGTGAGAATATGATTATTTTGCAGGAAAGTAAACAAAAAAAAACTAACAGAGTAAAATTTCCAATCAAATTTTTTTTCAAAACAAAACAAATAGTAATTAAAATAATAAAGATCAAATATGGTATAAAAACCAAATGAAAAAAATAATTAGGGATTAAATTAAAAAATAAAATGAATTAAGAAAAATATTAAAAATAGCAATAAAAAGAATGATAACTATTATTTGATAAAGAAATTAAATGAAATAAAATATTGAGGGTTAAAAATAAAAAAACCAAGAAAATAGAAATTAAAAGAATGATGATCAAATTTAAATAAAAAAAATCTAAGAAAATAAAATGACGAGGGACAAAATTGAAAACAAAATCAAGAAAAGGGTAAAACACAAAAAAAAAAAACACAATCAAAAGAATGGGGACTAAATTGAATATAAAAACAATATGAAACAAAATGTTTAGTTATGAAATTAAAGTAAAAACTTCAAAAAGTATTAAAAGCAAAACAAATAATAATCAAAAGAATGAGAACTAAAATTAATAGAAATAGAAACTAGAGGACACAATTAATTTTTGAAGGGCCGCCATGAATTTCTAAGTTAAGAGTAAAAGGAAAAAAAACTCATCAGAGCCCAATCACATATCTATCGTTAACGCGCATCTCGCGAATACAAAGAAAACAATGCTACACTCCAAACATCATCACAAATGGTTGATTTTAGTCATCAGATGACCTTACATGTTTTAACACGTGAAATGCATGTGTCAACAATTTTTTTATAGTATTTATTTTTTAAACTTACCAAATAGCCCCTAGGTCAACCTAAAAAAAATATAATTTAACACTTCATATATATATATATATATATATTATTAGGCAATTTTATCACTTCATGATTCTCATAAATATAAAAAGATACTTGAGTGATAAAGAGAGAATTCATCACTTTCGGTGAATTAAAAAATATATTTTATCTGTTCTCAAATAGTGTTAATCGAGAAATTCTTAACTAAGGTGGGATGAGATTTAAAAAAAATTTCAAATTTTATTTAAACGATCAATGACTATTATGTAGATAATAAATATAATTTAACATGACAAACATACTTAATACTTTAATATTAAATCAAAATATTATTGATAAAAAATATTAATTACACTGAAAAACTTGTCACTAGAAAGTTAAGTGAAAATACTAATAACTTTTCTAATATTTAGAAAATCATGATACATTGATAGGTGATTTATCTTATTTTTAAATATAAATTAATTAATTATTAAATTGATAATACATTAAATTATTTAAATTATTTAATTATATTTAATTATAATTTATATTTACATCAACACATTAGAAATTTAATATCTCAAACACATTAAAAATCTTTAGATAGAAATTAAGCTGAAATAATTTAATTAAGTATGAATTAATTAAAATATATTTTAAAAACTAACGAGTAGAATATAATTAATATAATAATTATATTTTTAGACCTCAAAAAATTAAACAAGTACTTCATCAAATTAATTTTTAAATTTTTCCTGAATTAATATATAAATATTATTAAAATAATAAATTAATATTTTATTGATTTATAAAAAAATTTAAATTTGTTTTAAATAATAAATTATACCTTTTATTTTTTAAATTTTCATACGGACTGCAGACTTGACTAGCGAAGTTTCAGAGAAGCAACGTGGCTATGATTTGAAGACAACATTCATCTTGACTTTTTGTTTTTGTTTTTTTCGTATGTTCAACTTGACTTTGGTTGTTGGTTAGTAAATGTCTTTGTCCCACGCTGGCCAATCCGCGTGGGCTTCACACGTTGTGGACTTGACAAATCGGGAATCACACGCCACAGAAGATTGCCTCAAATTAGATGGTGGCGTTGCTTTTGTATACTCCCCAAAGTCAAGAACGTCCTTTACGTGGGTCTCCACGAAGAAACTTGGCAACCAAGAGTTTACTAAAACTACATATCTTTTTCATTTAGTAGGTTACTAAAGTGTCCTGCATTCCTTAATTGGGTTTACTATCCAAAATATACTTCTTGCCCAAAACAACAACGTTCTATTAAATAAAAAATTAATATGGATGAATGTGTGACTCAAATGAGAGATGTCTAGTATTAGGGATGGAGTTTTTTCCTATTATTTTTTATCCAATAGAAGTTCCATCAAGTTTTACATTATAATCTTTTCTTAAAAATAAAAACACAAAATAAAATAAAGCTTTTTTAAAACGAAATTCAGAATATATCCTAATTAAAACAGGGTAAAGCATGAAACTTGCAGCCAGGACCTTTTGAACATGGATGGGTAATGTGTGGCCACTAAAACCAGCCCATAAATATATTTATTCAGACAACACTTGAACAGAAATCATAGTATTGCTCTGACAAGTTGGGCCACACTCCAGAAATCATAGGACCTTTTATATGTTCGAACACAAACACATATCAAAATGAAAACCATCCAATACTATCCATACATATATAATTGTCAGCTTCATCTCCATCTGAATCCTCATAGCACGATCATCTCCTGAATTTTCTATCCAGAGGCAACACAGTAAAGATTTCCTGTGGTTCTGACCAGTAAAAGAGATCAACCTTAGCAGTGTAGCTGGTCCTCTTGAAAGGTAGCTGTAGTTCAAAAAGAATAATAAAAAAAAAGACAAACAAGAAAAAACTTCCACCTTACAGAGAGAGAGAGAGAGAGCGCTTACTAGAAATTATCTTCCTTTTTAGTATATTATAATCTTTGGGATGTGAGCTATCTTAGGCCAGTCCTCTCCTCTCTCTTTCTGACACCTCTTCTCCAATTTTGGACAATTGTCAATTATCAACGAGATGAGGTTGCTGAGACTCTGCACCCCATCTGGCAAAGACTCCACGTTAGGGCAAAACCCAATCTCCAAGCGTGAAAGGGGTGTGAGATATCCAATCTGATTTGGCAAAGAAGCTAATCCCTTGCAGTCTCGTATACGTAGAGATCGGAGAGAAGTGAGATGTTGGATACTCTCTGGCAATGAATTCACCTCTGGACACTGACTAAGATCCAAATCCTCAAGTGCCGTCAGATGTTGCACTCCATCAGATAGAGATGTGAATTTATCACAATATCCAACAAATAACTTACGAAGAGAAGATAAGCCACACAGCCCATTCATTGGCAGACAATTTAATCTTCCACAACAACGTATCTCCAAAACCTCCAAGGAAGTGAGGTTCCGAAGACCTTCCTCTGGCAAGCTTTCAAGTTCATCACAGCACCAAATCGTCAAGCTTTTAAGAGCAGAAAGGTTATCTAATACCTTATTAGACAAAGACTCCAGATCTGGCAGATAATCAATTTTTAAGCTTTCAAGTAGGGTATGATTTTGCAAAAACCCTCCAGGAAGCTCCCTCACATTTGGAATCTGTCTTATATAAAGGGAGGTGATAGAAGTGAGATTCCTAACTGACATCATTAATGAAACATTACCTCCTTGGATGTCTAATTTTTTGACGGAGGGTATAATTGGTATCTCGTTCAACACAAGGCAATAAGCTATCTTCAATTCTTGAAGGTGAGGAAGAGTACACGCAGCCCATTGCTCTAATCTTTCCATTGAATCGAAAGTCAGCGTCTCCAAAGATGGGAATGGATTTTGCCCATCTCCATACACATTACTGCCAATACTCTTCACACCATCCATTCCATGCAATACAAGACTCTTGAGGAACTGCAGTTTCCCTAATGGTGGAAGTTGTTCACAGTTGGAGCATGCTTTTAGCTTCATCTCCACTAGATTTGGTAGCATGAAGTTCAAGTTCATCATCCAATTTGGAAATTTTGAACCTCCATATCCCAATATCCTCAACCTCTTCAATTTTGAAGGAGGTTGAAGCCCATCAAGAACCTCCTCGTTATTTTCCTGAATAACACTCTTTCTTCGTTGTGGTGGCACAAATGACCGAGGGCTAAAAAGGTAAGATCCATTACCATGCCAAGATAAAGTCAATGATAAAAGAGCTGTCTTCAACTTCAAATTGGCACTTCTGGCATCTTTTAAATTCCTAACATTCACAAGATCTGCGATACTCAATTCACCAGCAAGATTATTCAGCCTTTCCAGCTCACTTATGCGACAACCATTCTCCCCACCCACAATGAACAGGGTAAGTTTTCGGAGGTATATCAATTGCCCCATTAGGCTCTTTAAAAATAACACTTGTATCAGATAAACAAGACTTTTCATGTGCTTCATATGTTACGTGCACAAAGTAAACCAAGAAAAGACGGGTAGATTTCAATTGTTAAAATGTCGTTTTAGTTGTTATAGTCATGGTTAAACACCCTATTTCATTAAATGAGATTGTTCCTATAGCAATCTCGGGAGCCTGAAACATCTAGATACCTTAGATGTTTCAAATCACAAATAGACTTCGGCATTTTCTTGGCCCAGACATTTCTTAAACTCAATGCTCGATGTTTTCGACCACGAATCTTTCTCCGTCCATTCAAAAGACCTGCATTCATCAAAAGAAGTGAGCGAAGTGATAGGACCGTGAGAACTTCAGAAGACGAAGCTATTGATCTGTTATAAAAAGCTACATGACGGACAGTTTTAGGAATTTCCAATTCCCCATCGCCTTCTGTACTCATATAGCATTCTTGTACTGCAATGGATTGTGCGAGATCATGCATAAGATCATGCATTTTACATGTTACGTTGCCAAATCCATCATCATGGACCTCTTGCAGAAATGATCTTCCCACTAGTTCATTGAAAATCCCAAGACCCATAACGTGCAAATCCATTTCATTTCTGCAAGAAATAAAGCCATTTGCCATCCATAAAGCAATCAACTCCTCCCTCCTCATCACGTGATCTTTTCGAAATATAGCGCAAAAAGCAAAGCATTGCTTCAAATGTGGTGATAGATGAGTATAACTAAACCTCAAAGCAGGTAAAATCTTGCTTGCTTCTTCTCTTAGATCCCAAATCTCACTTTGTTTTACTTTTATCCATTCATCTTCACTTTCTTTTAGCCGCATTAGGTTCCCTAGTGCCTTTATAGCTAAAGGAACACCACTGCACTTCTTCACTGTTGATACTCCAATGGCTTCCAGGTGTGCCTGCTCCTCTTTCCTTCTCTTCCCGAATGCAAGCTGTTGAAACAAATCCCAAGAATCTTCTGCAGACAATCTCCCCATGCGCTGGATAAAAGTTGCGGCCATTCTACGAGCAACCATCTCATTACGCGTAGTTACTATTACAGCACTACCTTTAGCTCCACACCTTAATACCTCCTTTAATTTACTCCACCTATCAGTATAATCTTCCCACACATCATCCAGCACAAGCAAAAACTTCTTTCCAGTTAACTTTTGTTGGAGGCGTTGTAGCAAGGGATCCAATTCTTGAAGAGAACAAGAGGCACCGTCAATGGGCTCCATGATGGCTCTTGTTAATCTTCTCAAGTCAAAATCAGTAGACACACACACCCAGATCCTCAAGCCGAATTGTTGTTTAACCTTTTCTTCATTGTAGACCAATTGAGCAAGTGTTGTTTTCCCGAGTCCCCCCATTCCCCATATAGCATAAACAGGGAGATCGTCGTCATTAGTGAGCAGGATGTTGAGTAGTTCCTCTTTCTCCTTCCGTCGTCCGCAAATTTCTGACTCATTCACGAGTGAGTTGGTAAGCCGCCAATCATAGGTATCAGCTGCTATGTCTACAGCTCTTGGTGTTAAATCAAACATGTTTTTCTTATTGGCGATGGCATCCAATTGTTCTCTCACATTTTTCAATTTATGCTCCATTTTCAATCGAAAAAGAAGGGGGCCATGACCGAGAGTAAAGAGGGATCTCAGTCGGTTTTTGGGATCTCTTTGCAGCCGATGCCTTTGAGATTCAATTGCAAACTCATCCAGTACATCATCAACATCATAAGCTGCATCCTTGAGGTGTCTTAGCCAAATCTCTAAAGCCTTGTTCTTCCATTGCTTCTCCTCCGCATCCTGGAGCACAGCTTGAACCATTGCGAAGGTGCTTTCGAGATGCTCAAGCTCGGTGTCTAGGCCCCGAGCAAGCCCAACCTCTTTGAGAACCAGCAGCCTCAAGTTCTCCAAGACTGCACTCGCTACAGCAGAAACAACTGCGTCGGCCATTGCTTGTTACGAAGCGAAAGGAATCGGATGTTGAGAAGTAGAAGTAGAAAAGGTGTACGGAAACTAAAAGCGGGGAGGTGAGCAAGAAATGGTAAGTAAATATTGAGATGAAAGAGCAGATGAGAAATGGAAAAGGTGAAAGCGTTTGGTGATGGGATTTTACTGATTATAGTGTGGTGGGGTAATTTTTTCAAAATATTAAAACCGCAGTCTTTTAACTATACTGATTAGGCTCCACACGGTGCAGACTTGACTAGCCAGAACCTTCCGTCAAGTTTTACCTTATAACTTTTTCTTAAAAAAATAAAGAAGAAAATAAAGCTTTTCTAAAACAAAATTCAGAATATATCCTCTTTAAAACAGGGCAAAGCATGAAACTTGCGACCAGAACCTTTAGAACATGGATGGGTAATGTGTGGCCCACTATCCGGTTTAGCTAAGCTGTGACTGCATTTATTATGTAACAGTGATAATATAATATTTAGTTAAGAAATCAGTCGCACGTTATTATTATCTGCGTTAAAAACGCTGTGTCGTTGAAGCAGCAATTACATGCTTCTGTCGCGTTCCTGCCTATCTGCTGCATGCCTTCGCACATTAAGCTAATCAATTAGCATTAACAGTGCATCATGCGACATTATTGCAGCCGAATCATTCCGGTTCAAAACTTAAAATATATTGAAATGGGTGCATGCCTTCGCACATCAAGCTAATCAATTAGTATCACCAGTGCAGCATACTATATTATTCCAGCCGAATCATTCTAGTTCGAAACTTAAAATATATTAAAACGGGTTTAATTTAATAAAATAAAAAATATTTTTTATTATTTTTATTATATTTTATTTGAAAAGTTATTATTTAATATTATTTAATGAAACTATATAAATTAGACAAAGATCGCTTAATACGTAGTATTTGTAGAATTTGATCGCAATTTCAATTTTATTTCTGATTATATTTTACCTAATATTATTACGCGCTTAATAAACTAAAAAAACTTTAATTCTTGTCGGATATATGAATGTTATGAAATTGTAGATATTTTAAAGGAACAATACAAAGTATTTTATATAAAGTATTATTTATTTTATGATGTAATAGTGATAGTTAAATTTACAATATTTAAATTAAAAACCATCGATCAATATTAATATATATTTTTTAAAATTATTTTATAACATCAATTTCAAAAGCATTCTTAACCAAACACATTAAATTACTTTTTGCTCAACCTCAATTTCAACCACAGTTTTAACCAAACACTTATTTTTTCAAATCAACCTCAACTAAAAATACTTTTTATAAAATAATTTTTTCCAAACCACAATCACAACAGCTAACGCAATACCAAACACACTCTAAAATCAGTTTTTATTACGAGTTTTTGATTGTGTGGCTGAAAAGTGGTAAAAAATAATATAAATAATATTTTAAAGTATTATTTAACGGTCTAATTTTTTATTTATTTAGATAATTATTTAATATTATATTAAAATTTTAATATTCAGTTTAAATCTTACTATTTTTATTTTCTATTTTAATTGAAATTAATTAATCATACAAGATATACACTAAAAATTAATATAAATTATATCTTAAAATTTCACATAATAACTTAAATTTAATTTCACATAATAACTTAAATTTTTTAATTTTCATAGTAGAAAAGATCAAAATATATTTATATTGAAATACAATAAGTTTCCTTTTGCCAGAAATTAAAAAAAATGATGAAATGGATTTAGTTTCAAATTATCAATAAAATTTGTACTTTTATGAGAACTTATGAAAATAAAACATTAATGAAATTTTAAACATAGTTTAAGTAACATAATCTGACTAGGGAAACTTGAACTCAATATAATTCATAATTTCATAGATATTGAACAAAGAAAAATAGAAGAAGAAAACCAGAAGTTAATGTAAGAAGATTAAGATCTTGTTTATTTTTGTGTTTTAAAAATATTTAAAAAAATAATTTTTTTCTTTACTTCACATTATTTTTTTTTGTATTTTTAGATTGTTTTAATATGTTAATGTCAAAATCATTTTTTAAAAATAAAAATAATATAGATGAATCAAATATAAGGTATGGATTTTTCTTTTTCTTTTTTATGTATTAAATTTTAGTTATTTTTTTATTTTGTTGATTGATTTTATGTTTTTTTTAATTATTGATTTGATGTGATGTGCCCTTTATTTAAGTTTGTTGTAACCCAATTTTGGATTCACTAAGATTTTCTCGAATGTTATTTTATTTTATTATTCATAAAAAAATATAAATAAAAAAAGAGTTTAAAATATATTTTCTCGAGTCAACCGCATCTTTCAATCAAAATTGAGTCCACCAGGTCAATACGGGTTAAACGATGTCGACCGGAATAAAAAATGAATTTCGGGCCGTTTCGGGTCAAAACTGTCATTTTCGATCAAAATCGAGTCCACCGGGTCAATACAGGCCCCACCATGTCGATCGCGATGAAAAATGAGTTTCGAGCTGTTTCAGGTCAAAACCGAGTCCACAAGGTCAATACAGGTCCCACCATGTCGACTGCGATGAAAAATGAGTTTCAGGCTATTTTTAGTCAAAAATGTTATTTTTTGTCAAAAAACCCAGTCCACCGAGTTGATACCCATATAAAGATTTTTTTATATATAATTTAAATTGATTTTTAGCGGTTGAAAAGCTTTTTATAATAGTGATTTGAATTTTTAATTTTTTACCCCTATAAATAAATATTATTATTATATATAATAAAACAAAAAAAATAATTTAATTTTGTTATAGTAGACGGAGAATTTCTGCCGATGGTAGGCGGTGCAGCTGTACATTGAAAATTTTACACAATCCCGTGATTACTTGCACAATTTGTGATTCGCTGTCCCCTATCATTGGCTATAAATAGCCAATGAAACCAAGACAACAAAGGGACAGAATAGAAAACAAGAGAATTCTAAATTCTGAATTCGAGAGGAAACTATTCTTATTACTATTTGTGTTATTATTTGCAATTGTTCACTTATTTTTTCTTTTTCTTCACATGAGTAAGATAACGATTTTTTTTTAAACAATTTGAAAAATACCAAAAATATCCTAAATATTAGATTTAATAGTATTTAAATCTGAGCCTTTGATTTTTTAGGATACAATAGGCTTTACCACACCGGATTAAAACCCAAATTCATCTCAGCCTTTAAAATAATCTATCCTTTGATCCTGTTGCGCCATGTCATCAGGTGTACCAAACACTCGGCACACTGCGACACACCAGATCATAGCCTAGTCCATCCTGACCGTCCGATCAACTTGCAAATCAAGTCAATCACAATCGCACGATCTGTTCATCTGCGATCCAACAGTGCATAGGCTTCAGACGCACCAGTACACCATACGCTCTTCCACATCGTATCAAAACTCAGAGCCCCTCTCTTCTCTCGCCGGCGATTCTCTCTCTCTCCTCCGATCTTCTATTTTTGATCGTTTAAAGAGGCCAAACCACCACAGAAAGCCTCCTCTGAAGCAAAAGCCCGGTCGTTTTACATGATTTCACTGGCGATTCAGGCCGGAAAAAGGCCGCGACAGTCATTGGCCAACCGAGCTTCAAGTCGTCGATTCTCCCTCATCAGCCATCAACGGCCGTCGAGACCACCACCATCAGAATCCTCGTCCTCAAATCGACCAGAATCAACCATCTGTTGGCCGGAATCTCACCAGAAAATTTCATCGCCACCAAAAGTAGACCTTTTTAGGGACAAAGGTCGACATTTTAGACAAAGTCTCCTAGTTTTAGGGACTGACGTCATTTTTAACATGTCTCCTATTTTTAGGGATCGACGTTAACCATCTTAAAAAATTTACAAATAAGCTCAAAATATAATAGCATTTAAATAAAATGAAAAACACACAAGGGTAACCTTTCTCCAAAAAGGATGTTTTAAGGGTGGTGTCTACCTTTCCTTAATCATAACTAACCCAGTACCTGAATCTCTGGGACCAGTCTCTAATTTTGAATTTCTAGTTCCCTCAAATTACTAGATGGCGACTTCAATAAAATCTTTATTTCCCCCAATCAAGAAAAAAACTATTTATTCTTTTTGTTAAAACAAACAAAAAAGAGTGGAGCCGTCGCCAGACGTCGTGTAACGACAAAGTTAAAGGATTTTGTTAATTGGATTGTAATATTATTTTGAATTTGAAATCTATTGAGTATTTTTCTTTGTTTGCTGATAAACCCTTATTGGTTGTGCAGGGTGGCAGTTTTGATTTGTGGGACAATAGCAGATTTTGTTTTGGCAAAGAAGAGTTGAAGATGGAAGATTGGAGAGATAGCAGATTTTTTTTCTTCTAGTTTTGTTTTGTTTAGTGTTTCTAGTTCAGTGTATGTTCGTGCTTGTTAGAATATTTCCCCATGGTACATGAGAAAGAAAGAAAAAGCTGTTAAACTAATAAAGAATTAACTTGTGTAAATGCAAGAATTCACCTGATGTGTATTGGCTTCATATACAAACTTCTTGAATATAGTCCCCGCACATAAGATGACTTGATGTTTGTCCGTTATAGATAGAGGGCAGTTTTTGGAAATATTTTTCTAAGCTACATGAGAAGAAAGACAAAGCTGTTAGACTAACTAAAGGTGATTGTGTAAATTTAAGAATTCACCTGATGTGCTGGGGCTTCACTGAAACTGCATTCGTTTCTGGAATCAAGTGGCACATTGAAACATTTCATGAGGATGTGTAACTTTTAGGTTTCACTTTGTGCACTATGGCTTTTCCCGGACCATGTAATTAGACCAAACGTTGCTTCCTAACAACCTCATCCATTGCCTGCGGTTTTTTTATTGAAGATGTTGAAAAGAAAATAACAGAGATGGTAGTTTTGGTTCTATATACCTGAAGGTCTTGGAAAGAATTTAATATTTTGTTCTTTCTCCATGTAAATATTTTCTGTCTTAAATTGCTGGATGAAGTTCTGTCTATGTTCATGTTTTTTATTTTGCTGATTTAGTTGGCACATCTTTTTTTCAGAGGATGTGCAAGTTCCACCTCTCCTTTCAAATGAGCAGCCTAAAAATAAATGGGATGATGAAGATGTTGATGAAGATGATGTGAAAGAATCGTGGGAGGATGAAGATGAACCTGCTCCGGTATGATTGATAATGTAATCTTGATCTCACATTATTTTATACTTTATCTATCACTTTCAAATTTCAACCAAAGTCACCTAAAATGTTGGATGCTATTATAGGTCCGGGAACAACATCCACAGCTAGTTATGGAAAATGGTCTGATAGGGATAGGCTTCTTT